CTCCACTCCTACACCTGGGCTAGATGAACACCTCCCTCCTCCACTCTACACCTGGGCTAGATGAACGCCTCCCCCTCCAATCCTACACCTGGGCTAGTGAACACCTCCCTCCTCCACTCCTACATCTGGGCTAGATGAACACCTCCCTCCTCCTCCCTACACCTGGGCTAGATGAACACCTCGCTACTCACTCCTACACCTGGCTAGATGAACCTCCCTCCTCCACTCCTACACCTGGGCTAGTATGAACACTCCCTCCTCCACCCCTACACCTGGGCTAGATGAACACCTCCCTCCTCCACTCCTACACCTGGGCTAGATGAACACCTCGCTCCTCCACCCTACACCTGGGCTAGATGAACACCTCCCTCCTCCACTCTACACCTGGGCTAGATGACACCTCCCTCCTCCACTCCTACACCTGGGCTAGATGAACACCTCGCTCCACCACTCTAAACTGGGCTAGATGAACACTCCTCCTCCACTCCTACACCTGGGCTAGATGAACACCTCCCTCCTCCACCCCTACACCTGGGCTAGATGAACACCTCCCTCCTCCACTCCTACACCTGGGCTAGATGAACACCTCGCTCCTCCACTCCTACACCTGGGCTAGATGAACACCTCCCCCCTCCACTCCTACACCTGGGCTAGATGAACACCTCGCTCCCCACTCCTACACCTGAGCTAGATGAACCTCCCTCCTCCACTAATACACCCGGGCTAGATGAACACCTCCCTCCTCCACTCCTACACCCGGGCTAGATGAACACCTCGCTCCTCCACTCCTACACCTGGGCTAGATGAACACCTCCCTCCTCCACTCCTACACCTGGGCTACATGAACACCTCCTCCTCCACTCCTACACCTGGGCTAGATGAACACCTCCCCCTCCACTCCTACACCTGGGCTAGATGAACGCCTCCCTCCTCCACTCCTACACCTGGGCTAGTGAACACCTCCTCCTCCACTCCTACATCTGGGCTAGATGAACACCTCCCTCCTCCACTCCTACACCTGGGCTAGATGAACACCTCGCTCCTCCACTCCTACACCTGGGCTAGATGAACACCTCCCTCCTCCACTCCTACACCTGGGCTAGATGAACACCTCCCTCCTCCACTCCTACACCTGGGCTAGAAAGAACACCTCCCTCCTCCACTCCTACACCTGGGCTAGATGAACACCTCCCTCCTCCACCATCTCTCACACACTTAGGGCAGATGAACACATTTTCATGGTCGCCTCAAAATTCTTCTTTCCTGCCAGCCTCCCTCAAAAAAAGTCCATCATTTCTTCCTCTCAGCAACAGAGAGAGAGAGAGAGAGAGAGAGAGAGAGAGAGGAGAGGAGAGATGAGGAGGAGAGAGAGAGAGAGAGAGAGAGACAGACAGACAGACAGACAGACAGACAGACAGACAGACAGACAGACAGACAGACAGACAGACAGAGACAGAGATGAAGGGAGAGCATTAATCTAGAGCTCAAAATGACGCCCATCACATCGTGTTTATCACGATACAAAACTGGTGGTGCAGGCTGGACGATGTGAAGCAGGGAGGTATTGACTGCAACTTCTGCAACCAGCAGTATTGCTGCTGCACTGCGGAACCACACCACACCTTCACCTCACATAAACCCACCACACCCTACAAACACACTCTATACGTAAATACTGTAAACGCTAAACCATCCATGTCCTGGTATTGCAGAGGAAGGAGAGAGAGAGAGAGAGAGAGAGAGGAGAGAGAGGAGAGAGAGAGAGAGAGAGGAGAGAGAGAGAGGAGAGAGAGAGAGGAAAGAAAGAGGAGAGAGAGAGGAGAGAGAGAGAGAGGAGAGAGAAGAGAGAGAGAGAGGAGAGAGAGAGAGAGAAAGAGAAAGTCAGTTGATCAATGAAAATGCTGGCTCACAGATGGCTCCAACTTCATCCTGTTCCCTACTTGTATGTCTCATAACAATAAAAATGCTTTCAAATGAGCTGATGTAGGTAACAGCTCTTAGCTTGCCAATAAAGTTAGGAATCCTTAACCTGTAAATAGCTTGTCAATAAAGTTAGGGATCCTTAACCTTGTCAAACCCGGTGTAAAAAAAAAAAAAAAAAAAAAAAAAAAAAGAGAGAGAGAGAGAGAGAGAGAGAGAGAGAGAGAGGAGAGAGAGAGAGAGAGGGAGAGAGAGAGAGAGAGAGAGAGATGAGAGGAGAGAGAGAGAGAGAGAGAGATGGAAGAGGAGAGAGAGAGAGACGAGAGAGAGAGAGGAAATGAGAGAGAGAGAGAGAGAGCATAAGAACATAAAAATCGAGGAACACTGCTGAAGGCCTACTGGCCCATACTGGGCATGTGTTTTTCTCAGAGCCAACCACTCCTACCCACCTAATTGTTTAACCTTTTTCCAAAGTCAGTCAAGAATTTGCTTCAGTTAGGTATTAATCAGACCCAGCACTTCCTACTCATTTATTTGTTTAATCTGTTTTGAAGGCTACCCAAGGTTCTATTACCTTACTTGGGAGATTATTCCATTCATCGACAACTCTGAACCTAAGAATTGTTTTCAAACCAGTACAGGCCTAATGACCTGTACTGGTTTGCCAACAGAACTTTCCTACGTTCTTTCTTAATCTAAAGTTATCTAATTTCAATCCATTATTTCTAGTTCTTACTTGACAAGATATTTTCAGCACTTTACTTACATCGCCTTTGATTATGTCTGTCTTTCACTTATAAACCTCAATGATATCTATGCTCATTCTACGTCTCATGAGAGTGAAGGTTTAAGGCTCTCAGTCTATCCTCGTGTGTCATTCTTCTCTAGCATAACGACCAAAATTGAGCTGCATAATCTAAGTGAGGTTTTACTAGTGAAGGTGACTTAAACCTTGGCAATAAATACAAGTTGGTTTTGAAAAATACGTAAGCAAACACTAGGATATATTTATTAGAAAACGTTTCGGTCCTGGGACCTTGATCACTTCTAGCATACAAAGGTTAAAAGACAGTATATATAACAAAATGATACACAATACCGACGGGTTGGTAACAGTTATATATCTTTATTCCGAAACGTTTCACCTACACATAGGCTTCTTCAGTCGAGTACAGAAAATAGGCAGACCCATAGTGTATGGAACAGAACCTTTTTTTGATGAGGGACTGG